CTGCACTCTACTGCCTCCTCTTTACTTTGCTCACCCCTTCGGTTCCGCCCACACTCAAGGAACGGGGGTTGTAACTGACTACAAGCTAGACCTGTACTTCCACCAGGCCTCCTCCTCAGTTGCTCTGTTAAAGATCACTGTGCCCCGCATCTCATGGGATCTGTTCTGTTCTCTTTCTTGACCTTTTATGACATTTGACACTGTTAACCACTCCCTTCTTGAGGCCTGTGACCACTCTTCCTGTTAGTGTTTCCCTTTATCTCTTACCCTTCTCCCTCTTCCTAGGTGTTTTTTTCCTACTCTCCTGGCCTTTAGTTTCTGCTGTGGCCGACACGCATCTTTATCTCTGCCAGTTGTCATTACAAAACTTCAGATCTCAATCCAACTGCCTATTAGATGATCCCTTCCCATCCCACACACTTGTCCCAAACTTCACTCACTTTTCCCCTTTCATACCTGCCAGGTTCTCTAATTTGGGGGAAGCATCACCCAAGTCAGAAGCCTAGGCATCATCCTAGATTACTCCCGTCCCCTTACATCCAGCCCAATCTGTAGTTGAGACCTGTTGATTCTATTTCTTTTCCATCTTTCATGTTAACCCGGAGGAGTTCCTTGATTTCAGACCTCATCATCTCTTGCCTGTAACAGACCCTGGTCTCCGGCTAGACTCCCTGCTCTAATCTTACCCTCCTCTAATCTGCCGAAGCGATACCCCAGCCATTCAAGTTACCCCCAAATATCAGAGTCTTTCGACCATTCTCCACAGCCACTCTAGACTCTGTAAGTGAGTAAACTGGGGAGTTCTCTCTACCCCGTGCTTACGCTTCCCCACCACACCTTCACCTTATGTTCCAGCAGTGGAAACACTGGCAGGGCTTTTGCTCATGTCCTTCCCTCTGCCTGGAGAACTGGCCCTTCCCCCCTAGTCTTCCAACAATTATCTTGCACCTAGTGAATTGCTACTCATGCAAGGTATTGGCACCATGAGGCTTATAATGGAAAACAACAGTCCTCTGCTCTATACCTCTCCTGCGGTAACTGCTTTTAACTGTTTTAGCTGGTTGCTTCTGGTGTCTGCCTCTGTATTTCTAAATATACCCTCATGAGGGTGTATTTAGAAATATACTGCCCCCCCACTGCCCCTATTCTTCATCCTTCTCTTCCTGAGCAGGCGTCTAAGGAGAATAGTCTGAACTCAGTCTCCACCTCCTTAATTCCCACCACAGCTCAAGGAGTAAATCCAGAAAAGATGACATTGGCTCAGGGAAGCAGGGGACCCAACACAGGAGAGAAGGAGAAGTATTTCCCAGGATGATGGGAAAGGAAGTCTTGGTCCAGTAGCTGTGACGTGCAGAAGGCCTGGAGAACTCAGTCCCCACTGGAGCAGGAAGAGGAGGGCTCTCAGACCGATGTCTCTGGTGGGGTGGGGTGGGGAATGGAATTGATTTATTACATACTCTGACTCAGTTCCAGGAAAAACTTGACTCAGTTAATCACAGGAAAAGTTGTATAATGATGAAAATTAGTCACCGTATACAGTTGGCTCAGCTGAGAACAATATGCAGAATGTCTTAAAAATATAAATACTAGGGCTTCCCTGGTGGCGCAGTGGTTAAGAATCCACCTGCCAATGCAGGGGACATGAGTTCGAGCCCTGGATCGGGAAGATCCCACGTGCTGTGGAGCAACGAAGCCCGCGTGCTGCAACTACTGAAGCCTGCATGCCTAGAGCCTGTGCTCCGCAACAAGAGAAGCCACCGCAATGAGAAGCCCATGCACTGCAACGAAGAGTAGCCCCCGCTCGCCGCAACTAGGGAAAGCCCGCACGCAGCAACGAAGACCCAACGCAGCCAGAAATAAGTTAATATTTAAAAATATATATATATAAATACTAATTTCTGAATTGTTTATAGTGTTGTTTTATGACTAATTTGAAAGAATGAACAGAGAGGGTTAGAAGGAGTGTTTGAAGGCTGGACCCTTTCATTTTCCAGGAAGTCAATGGATTATTAAAATTCTCTCTCGTCTCTCCCGTGTTGGGTCCTCTGTGCTGGATCCTATATCTTCATTTTCTTGATTTCCTCTATCTTTTTGCTGGAGCTTATCCTCTAGTAGTTTCCTAAGAAAAGAGACTTGGGAGATACAGTTTTTTGAAGCTTTGCATCTGAAAATATCTTAATTCTGTCATCATACTTAATTGCTAATTAGACTAAATAGGGACTCCCTGGTTAAGACCCATTTTCCCTCAGAATTTTGAAGGCGTTGCTATACTATTCTCTTCCTATATTGCTGTTGAGAGAATCAATATCATCCTTTATGATTTGTTTTCTTCTCTCTGGAAGGGTTTGGAACCACTGTTCTCAAGTGTCATGATTATGTGTCTTGATGTGCCTCTCTCTTCACGCCTATGCTGGCTGTTAGAGATGGACGCTTTCAATCTGGAAATTCATGTCCTTTGAATTCATATCCTGGAAATTCTTCACAACATATTGCCTTGATAATTCCCTCCCCTTCCTTCATTGTATCTCTTTCTGGAGCTTGTATTAGTCAGTTTCTGGATTGGTCTTTCTATCTTTCCTCTGTTGTTTGCTGACCTCTGATTGAAGGCAGTAAGGTACAGAAGTGGTTGAGTCCTGGACCTTGAGTCACGATGGATCTAAATTATGGAGCTGCATGTGTTGTTTTATTTTTTTTTTAAGCAGAATATTCTAAAGATTTTTAGATCTTTTGAAGAACAATGAATTTAATAATGATGTTTTATGTAAATGCACATATATTGACAGTATGGGAAAATTAGCAATTTCCTTTTAGAAGTATGTTCTTCTTACTCAGTACTCAGTTATTAAGAGATAGATATTATTTACTAAACGAAGGGCAACACATAGACCCTATTTTGTGAAATGCTGTTTAGTAAGTTTCCTTCGTTTATCAACTAGACATTCACAAAATAAGTTTAATTTTTTAAACGTAATCTAAAACTTTTTTGGGGGAATATTTTACGTGTAGAGTGCCTTGGGTTCATACAACTATAATAATAGAGAAAGAGTGTTGTTACATTATTGTCCCTTTAAAAGTTATATGGTCTGCAAATATTTTAAAATATGTTTCAGGATAACAGCAACTTCTGGATTTGGTGACAGCTGGGTCTTTTTCTTTAGCAACCACCTTTTTCCCTCCTCTGCACTCTCACATGATATTAAAAATACCTCTTATTAAATCTCTTCTGTTATCTGCTTCCTGTTGCCCTTTTCTCCCTCTCCGTAAGTGTCTGTCTAAGCAGTGAACACATGAAGTCTTCAAAGTTCTGATAAGCCACACACTGTCCCCATGGGTGGGTTTGGAGCAGAGCCCATGAGTGCGTCTGTGTCCTGCTGAAACCAGAGCTCGTGATGGGAGGAAATGGGTGAACAAGTTGCTAAAGGGAATTCACTACTGGTTTATCTTGGAAAAACAGAAGGAACAAGTGGAATCAAAGCGAGAATATGGCAAAAAATCTTAAACTAGCAAAGACACACTTTGCAGTTTCTTGCAATTCTGTTCTTAGGGTCATAATCAAGAATTAAGAAACAATCGTGCTGGTTCTGTGTCACTTCGGAAGTAAACGCATGGCAAGTCAGTAAACCACCTTAGATACGGGTATGAATATGGGTCGTTTACAAGGGACCAACTGTACTGCGTCATTCTGAACTGAATTTTGCATAATTACTACAAAAATTTGGGTTGGAAAGTAAGTTCAGGGCTGTTGTTCCTATTTTCAGAGCAATTTAAATTGTAAAATTAAGTGCTCAAAGGTTTATAGCAAATTAGACCTGCCCCCTTCGCCGCCAATCCTGTTCCCCCAAGGAAAACACATTCAACTCTTATAACTGTCTTTTCATGGCATCTATTCCCCTGGCTCTAACTCACTTGCTAATAATGCTATTTCTTGACTTTCTATTTTTAGACTTTTTTTTAAGGATTTTCTGTTATGGGAGAGGAGGATTTAGCTCTCTTAACCCCACTTTTGTGTCCTGTATCTCCTCCCCAGTTCTAATATATTTACATCAAAATTTTGTGTTAAAGCAGTAGTCACTCCTAACTTACTAGTACATAAATATGATCCAGTTATGATCCAGGTAGTATATCGTGATTATTTTCTTATATAACTTCCGGGTTTTTGTAGAGTTAATAATAATTGCCCAGTTTAAAAAAAACTCAAAAAACTGTTTAGTGTATGTACTTAAGTTTTTTTTCCTAATTCTTCCATTGGTTTTTATCTGCCATTAAATATTTTTACCCCTGGGCAGGTATATCAGTTAATCCATTAGTTTCATATTTTTCCTGAAGCCCTCTCCCCACTGAGTCCTCTGACCTTTTGCCCCAATCTGGACTGGTCACTTTCTAGGTATTTGTGCATTGCCATCTTGAGACCTCCCTTGTCTGTTTTCAGTGTTGGGTCCCTTATTTTTATAGTCTCCTATCTTCTATGTTCTTGCTTTCACGGAATACATCCCGCCAGGAACTTCATGAGAATTTTGTTAGTTTTTATGTGTCTATAAATGTCTTTATTCTAACCCCATCCTTGATTTTTATACTTACATACGTGGCTGGGTTTTTAACTGTCTTCCATCAGACTTCTGAGCTGTTATGCCATTTCATTTTAGTTCCTTCAGTTGATGTTGAGAAGTCTAGGACTCTTCTGATTTTTCCTTAAATGTGACATCTTTTTCTCTCTGGAAACATTTAGGATGTTTTCTTTACTCCCAGTGTTGAGAAATGTCATGATGTCGTTGGCCCTTTCAACCTAGAGACTTGTGTCTTTAAAGTCTGGGAAATTAATCTTGTATTATGTAGTACTATTGCTTCATCATTTAGTTTTCTGTTCTCTTTTTCTGAAACTCCAATTAATCAAGTATTGGATCTTAAATTCTTTTTGAAATGTTATTTTGATATACTCTTTCTTCTTTCTTCCCTCCCTCCCGTCCTCCCTTCCTTCCTTTCTCTCTCTCTTTTTACTTTTTAGCATGGCATCCTGGTCTTTCTTTTTTCCCCTAACTTTATCTCTTTGAGGACATAAATGAGGTTTTTTTGTTTTATTATCTCAATGATTCTTTATTAAGCGCTATGTACAGGCAGTTGTCTAAGCACTTGGACTATACATGGGACAAGATAAACAACAACAACAGAATAATAGGACAAGCCATCCTGACTGTGGTAGATTGCTGGTTTCCTACCCTAATACCCCTCACACCCCTTTCCTTAGAAAGAGACCTCTAAGCTTTAGCTGAACACAAAACTGTCCAAAAAATAAAGACTACATTCCCCAGCTAGTGTTCTGGGAAGTGAGCTGGGGTTCCCCTCACTTAATTCAGCAAACTTTCTTTAACTCCCTGATTTCAGCCTAAGGCCTAGACTTTACTCCGAGTTGAGTCTGTGTCCTCAAGTCTGGAGCTGCCCTGATTTTCCTTCGCATGCCCAACAAAGCCCCCGCTCTCCTGCCCTGCGTGCTTCTCCATCCTCCCCTTGCACCGTCACCCTCCCACACCCCTGCACCTGCTCCAGGGCCACACAGAACTTCTCAGAGTTCTTCCACCTTGTGGGGCTTCCACTTTCCCCTAGGTGATTTCTGCTGATCCTTCAGGCTCCAACCCTTAGGTTATAAATGCCTGCTAATACCTGTACCCACAGCTCCACGCTAGGCGTGGCCTCTGCTCCCGTCACCCCCTCTGTCACCCTGTGTCATAGCACTCGTCACACTGTGGAGCGCATGTGGCTGCCGGTCTGTACGCACCCCCGGACTGTGCAGAAAGAGTCCACGCTGCCAACAAGCCCGGCATCAGAGAGCATCAGTAGGCTCTCTGATCTCTGAATGAATGAATGACAACTTATTTGAGCTCTGAACATTTTTGGTGTGACTTTTGGATAATTATTCTTGACTTTTTTCTTTTTTATCAGTAAGTTAAGGTTTGTGGTGTTTTAAGGGCATTGATAATACGTATCAATGAACTCAAAGGAAACTTTTGATTTTTTTTAAGTTTTTGCAGTCTCTGTTCTAACCTCTGCCATCAGTAAAAGAGGGTTACTGTGCCTAAGGGGACACTTGAAGTATGGCAGTGATGCATCAGAGGCGTTAATGAACTTGAAGATTGAGAGATAAGTGGAGTCATCCAATGCTGGAAAAAGGGAAACTTGACACACTCATTCTCGTGGGTCGTTGTTGCTGCAGCAGGGAGCGCTGATGGCTTAGGCTGTCGGCAAGGGCTGTGTGTGCCCTTCAGGTCAGCACTTGCCATTACATCATGAGGAGAAGCCAAGAGCAAGGATGGTGCAGCTTGTGCTAAAAGCACCTCTTACGTGGCAGTCATCCAGCTCAGATTCTGATTATTACTGTTGTTTTCTTTTTGGAGTCCTTGCAGTTATATATCTGGAATTTGGGTGTGGAAGGCCTAGTTACCACAGCTACTTCAGAGGGGTCTAGATATACTTTCCAGGTAGCACTTTGTGACTTGCTTCTGGGATGGCCCAAAGGTTCCTTGCCCAGAGTGGATGGGGCAGCGGGTAGGGAGAGGGGAGACGGTGAAGAGGAATGACAGAACAAGAGTGAAAGAGAAACTGGGTGTTAGAAAGTAAGCGCTGAGTGATCTTATTAACCAGGCAGTTTTCCTGCTCTGCCCCCCTTACCTCTAGGGTCACCCCTCGGTATCTGTGGGGCATTGGTTCCAGGAAACACCCCCCCATACCAAAATCTGAGGATACTCAAGTCCCTTATATAAAATGGCATAGTATTTGCATGTAACCTACCCACATGCTCCCGTACACTTTAAATCACCTCCAGATTGCTTATAATACCTAATAAGGTAAAGGCTGTATAGTTGCCAGCACGGGGCAAATTCAAGTTTTGCTTTTTGGAACTTTCTGGAAAGTTTTTTCAAATATTTTTGATCCGCAGCTGGTTTAATCCGCGGATGTGGAACCCGTGGATACAAAGAACCAACTGTATTGCGTTTTTTTATCAATTGCGCGGTCACAGAGAGCACTGCTGAATCTAGTGTGAGGTGCAGGGAGGAAGGGTCTGGGCAGAGTTAAGAGTGGAGCTGGTAATAAAACTTTCATCTCCTATAAATCAGTGGAAATCATCAGCCATTTGCCAGCAAAATTTCCCATTCCTGAGTGAACAGTGGCGTCAAATGGAAAAAGCAGTGGTTCTGCAGGGTTAGTACAGAGGGTTAGGCTAGGCCTTGTGTAACAAAGACAAAACATATAACAGGAGATGAACCAGTTTCCTGGGGCTGCCATAGCAAATGACCACAAACTGGGGGGCTGAAAACAACAGAAATTTATTCTCTCACCGTTCTGGAAGCTACAAGTCCGAAATCAAGGTGTCGACAGGACTGAGCTCTCTCTGAAGGCCCCGGGGAGGATCCTTCCTGGCCTCTTCCTATCTTCTGGTAGTTGTGGCCATCCTTGGCATTTCCTGGCCTTTAGACACATCACTTCAATCTCTATCACGTGGCGTTCTGTCCCGGTATCTTTCTTACAAGGACACCGGTCATGTTGGATTTAGGGTTACCCTACTCCAGTATGCCCTCATCTTGACTAATTGCATCTGCAAAGACCCTATTTCCAAATAAGGTCACATTCTGGGGTTCTGGAAAGGGCATAAATTTGGAGGACACTATTCAACCCAGTACAGTAGCTTAAATAAGAGTGTTTTTGTCTTTCACAGGAAAGTTCCAAGAGAAGCAGTTTGAGGTGGCCAGGTGACAGTAAGAGGAACCCAGGTGCTGCCTATCTAATTGCCCTACCATGTTTAGCACGTGCCTTCCACTTCATGGTCTGTGAAGGCTGCTTAAGTTCCAGCCATCACATCTGCTTTCCATCTACAAGAAGGAGAAAGAGGGGTAGAAGAAGAGTTTACGGAGGCATGTGCCAGCTGTACTTTGATAACACAATCCAGTATTTCTGTTCACTTTGCATTGGATGGAACTTGGTCATGTGCACAGCCAGCTGAAAAGGAGGCTGGGGACGTTGCCTTTTTTCAGACAGCTTTGTGTCCTGCTAAACCTTGCAAGTTCTCTTTCTGAGAAGAAGAGGGTGAATGGGTATTAGGTAGGCAACCAGCAATCTTCCACAGTCAGGGTGGCTTGTCTTATTTCCCCAGGACATGTATAGAAAGTCGTTTCTGAAATGAATCTCCGAAAGTTACTGTCCTTGTTTAATGATTTTCTAAATGTCTTGATAATATATTCTCTTAAAAAGTGATCTATGTTGTAGGAACCAGAGACGTCTGAAGAACTCCAAAACTGACTTTGTTTTTAATGAGATGCAGGCTGTTGCGTTAGCTTGGAAGCTCAAGGTAAGTGATGGTCACGTCTGCTGCTCTGCCAGCACGACTAGGTAGCTGAGCCCCAGCCTCCCGACCTTGCCCAGGCAGCCCTCATTCACAGAGAGCGGCGCCTTCCCACTCGCACCCGGGTGTCGTGGAGTCTCCTCTGCGCTGCTCTTTTTGCAGATGGTTCTCCTCCGTCTCCTTCCTAGAGGTGTTTCTAAGCCCCCAAAGGTATGAAAGGAGTTAGGGTTTCTTGCAGCAGTTTAATAAGTCTGGACCTTATCAGATAACGTAAGAGGGAAGACATGGCATTCACTGAAAATAAAACCTTTGGTCCAAAGGAGGCTTGGCCGAGGACGGAGGCGGAGAATTTCTCATTTGTGCCGCCTCATGTGGCCCTGGTCCAGTGAGTCCCCATCTTCACGCTGACGCAGGCCTCTGACTCACTTTGCCTGTCTCTGTCAGTCTCTACCGGGTGTTCCCGCTGAGGGGGGCTTTCTGTCTGTGAAGATCGCGCGCCTCACGCTCCTTTCGTTGTCACTGCCCCGCCCCCGCCCCTAGCATATTTCAGTGGGCTTGTTGAGGACACGTAGGAGGGGCTTAGACACTTCTCAGCTGAGTCCACAGCTTGGGGGCGGGAGGGAGGCGGGAGCCGGGATGCGCAGGTGAGGACGATGCGCCAGGCAGTGGGCACCTGCCATCGTTAGGCTCCTCCCCCGAGTTCATCCGCGCCCTTCTTCGCCTTCTCGTGGGTTCCTGCTCTTGGAGCGGAATGCCCTCCCGAACAGCAGGGCTGGTGCAGGATGGCCTCCACCTGAGAGCTTCTAGTCAAAGACTCCATGCTTCTTGAGAAGCCGAGAACTAACAATTTCACTTTAATAAGACTTCACCGCGGACAGTTGCTTATACAACTCATGGAGGCTGGCGTATGATTTCCTCATTTGCCGCTTCTCACCAGTTGTGTTATTTTCGTAACAATGACTGTGCGGGAATAAAGGCAATGCTTTTCCCTCCAGGCGATTAGACAAATGCATATCTTCTGACAAAAATAAACCTTCCTCCTCGCGGGTCCTTTTAGGCTAACCCACACATACCTCATTCGGGAGAGCTAGTCCCCTCCTACTAATGACAGCCCTTTTGGGCAGACCCAGAAGTTGTATCCAAAGACTGAAATACCACTGCCAGCTGGGTGCTGCCACCACTGTGCTGGTTGATGGCCCTTATCAAGCTTACTCGTGTTGAACTGTTTCATCTTCCCAAGGCTTAGTGGGAAGAAGAGGCTGGAGTAAGATGTTCAACTTCTTTCTGAAACAAGTCAACTTGAAAGTATTGGGTGAGGCGGGGAAGAGTGATATAACTTGCTTTTTCCAGTGTTAAAAGATGCCATCTCTCTGCTTATCTACAAAGAAGAATCATTTAAGCCAAATTACGCAATTTATTTGTTTATTGGGGCAGGTTGAAAAATGTATTCAGGGAAATCATATATTTTCATACCAGTTAGACACTGAAGAAGTATTTATGAAATGCTTACCATACTGTTAGGCACTAATATAAATAAAAACATATATCTATCAGATGTCCCAAAATCATGTTGAAAATGTGGGAACAAATATGGTTCTAAAATATGTAAACCGTAATGTTAGCAAACAGATGAAGGTATGATTGGCCTGAAAACTGCATCCAAGGCATAGAAAAAAGAGATTATTTTTCCTTTTTCCAGCTCTTAAAGCCACATTAAAAAATCCCAAAGCATGAACCCTTTGCCGAAGCCACTGAAGGCTCTTATCCACACCAAAATTTTAGTGTTTACCTGGCTCATCAGTCTTCCTTGAAAGGCAGGTAGACTCCTCCTACCCAGCCAGAGGTGGATGAAAGCCTTGGTTCCACGTCTCATCTGTGTTTAGTTCTCAGTCCACCAGCCAGAGATGGGCCACTAGGCATCCTCGGTCAGACGGTACAGTCGTCACACCGAATTTACCTATGAGACAGCATGTCGACTGTGAACTCCAAGCTAATCTTGGGAATCCGAAACAGTTCATTTTAGTAAGATGTTTTAAAAATCCTTGGTCCAGGACTTCCCTGGTGGCTCAGTGGTTAAGAATCCACCTGCCAATGCAGGGGACACAGGTTCGAGCCCTGGTCCGGGATGATTCCACATGCCGCGGAGCAACTAAGCCCGTGTGCCACAACTACCGAGCCTGTGCTCTAGAGCCTGTGAGCCACAACTACTGAAGCCCGTGTGCCACAACTGCTGAAGCCCACGTGCCTAGAGCCCGTGCTCTGCAGCAAGAGAAGCCACTGCAATAAGAAGCCCGCACACTGCAACAAAGAGTAGCCCCCTCTCACCACAAGTAGAGAAAGCCCGCGCACAGCAATGAAGACCCAATGCAGCCAAAAATAAATAAATAAACAAACAAACAAATGTATTAAAAAAAAAATCCTTGGTCCAAGATTGGTGCTTGTCTAAAACATTTGTTTTGAGTAAGTTTCCAGGACTGGGATAGGAAGAACCTTGAATATCCCATGGAGAATGCTTCTCCCAACTGATGTTGAACAGGACTGAAAGGCCTCCAAATGCCCTCCTCTCCATATAGGAGCACTGTGGTCACATGTCATCCCCTAGCCCTCCTTTTCCCACCTGTCCTATTGTAGGAAACACATTTTCTGCTTCTCAGAAGCCAAGCTGTAAGTCTGTCTCATGAGATGAAAGTAGAACTATCTCAGCCCTTTCAGGGAAAGCTTTTGCTTTCTTGGTAAAAGGGAAAGATGAGCTGGTGGTTACCCTTTGTCCCAGTTCAAGTTTGAACCATGTGGCCCCGGTGCCTGGAGGTGCAACAGTGGCTGGACCATGGGCAACAAGCCTACTTGCCATGGTCGGCAGAACAGAACCTGTAGATTCATTGCCAGCCCTGGACTTCTCACCTCTGGACTTCTTACACCTGAAAAAGGAGCCCTTTCTTGTTTAAGTCCCAGCAGACCCAGGTTTCTGTAACTTATGGGCAGACACATCCCTGACTGATACAGAAATAGGTATCTGAAAATGAGTGGCTCCCAGGATTATTTTTTAAATTTAATATGGAGCTTAGGAGGTTCTGTTTATTTCACTGCATTTTAACAAGTGTTTACTGAACGTTTTCTGCACGCCACGCATTGTGCAAGACCAGCGACACAAAAGGAACAAGATGCATTTAGAGTCCAAGCCACATAGAAATATGAATCCATATTCAGCAAAGGTAGTTTTGTGATTGGCTGGCTCATTCTTGTAACAATTATTGTGCATCTACAGTGAACCAGACTCTTGGAGCTAAAGATACAGAGATGAATATCATGGCCCTAAGCTTTTAGGAGCACAGTCTTCCAAATATCCATCCTTCATCTACCCAATAAATGTTCGTTGAGAACCTACTATGTACCAGGCAGGCTCAGAGCTCATGTGTTGAGGGGAAACATCAGTAAACAGGATTACAAAATCATTCTGCTTTTGAATAGGACCATAGGTGCCAGAAGTTGAATTCAGGAAGGAATGAAACAAGGGGAGGGGACCCAGATGGAGGCACTTTGGTGGGTCTGACCAGCATGAATGGTCAGGGCTCTCGCTGCGGGATGACCGGGTGCTCCAGTCCCACTTGGGCCACAAGCCCTCTCCCTCTTCCACGTTTTGCATCTGGCCGGGCAGTTTCCGCTGGCCCACATCCTTCGCTTCAAAGCCCCATTTCCTCCAGGGTGTTGGCTATGTAATCAGTGCCTGCATCTCCATCAGTCCACCCAGTGCCCTTGTTACCCCTCCTTTGCCCCCCAGTCTACCTTTCCGTCCCTAATTCAGAGACCTGTAGTGCCAGAGCTGGGAAGCCCCCTTTGAGGTCTTTCAGTCACTTTAGAGTAACTGAGGCCCAGAGAAGGGAAGAGGCTCATCCAAGGTCAGCAGATTAGCTGGTGGCAGCAGCTGGCACCAGAACCTAGGTCTCCTGATGCCTGGCCCTCCCCGTAAATCTGTCTATGGTTGGTGAAGCCCAAGGGGACAAGCTGCTCTTCTGAGCCAGGCTTGACCCTTCAGGAGCGCCCACCCCGCTCCTGGAGTCACAGCTCCTCACTTTGGGAACCGTTCTTCCCCAGCTCAGAAAGCTTGGTTCCTGTCCTAGCCGCCTGCACCTTCAGGACCTCCACGATGGAGGGGGAGTGGGGACACCAAAAACCCCTGCTGTCGCCATCAGCTGTGTCCCTCCACACAGGGGTGGGGGGCTGGTTCACCGTGAAATAAGGCGACCATCAGCAGGAAGAAGAGATGAGAGAGGGGCGGGTCCCGGCTGTGTCCAGGCGTCCTTGTGCCCGTTGTCCCTGTAGCAGGCTGTCATCCTGTCCTGTGGCTTGTCCTAAATAACCTCAGCATTCTTCCAGAAAACTGCCCTTTTGCCTACACTCCTTTGAGTTAGATATCTGTCCTTCAGACCCAAGAGTCTGATGCCCTTGCCCCGTGGGACTGATTTTGGTGCCTTGCTTTTTCTTTAACCTTACGCAGTCTCATCCTTCTCTCCTTCCCTCTGCAGCCCTGTGCCTGAGGAAGCTCTGCAGGGCGGCTGGCAGAGACCCCAGACACAGCCCTGGATGCTTCTGGCACATGACACCATTTAGAAATTAATTCCCTGGCTAATTCTTGAAGCCCTTTTGAAGCAAGCAGCAAAGGCCTGGGAACAGCTTCAAAGCTCTTCTCAAATCCCGTTTAGAAACTTCCCAGCAGCAGATCTATAATTTAGCTTTCTTTTTAGTTTTAAACATTTTATTGCAAAAATAAATAACCCCCAACTCCGGTCTGGAAACCATTATTACGTGTTATCTATAGGTAACTTCAGTGCCCTGGGACAGAACCCTTGACTCGCTGGTAATGACAATTGTTTCTTTATTAAGTTTCTTATAACCCTGGAAAAGTTTCTATGTAAGCAGAGGAATGTGAAGCAAATTAAACTCATACTTTTGAAAATTTGGGGTTAGTTTAGGTGATCTGTATTTGGTATTTTAAGAACTTTTAATTTTAAGAGAAAGTGTCAAATTTGGGTAACCAATGTAGGAAGCTTGTGACTCGAATTGAGTAATTGATGTTGACTTGTGTTAAGCTGAAAGGTGCAGTGCAATTTTATTAAGATTGTAAGCAGTATGGAAACATTTAAGTGAACTCAAGATTCACCATATTCAGTTGGTCAAGACTTGGGAAGTGGGACTTCCCTGGTGGCACGGTGGTTAAGAATCTGCCTGCCAATTCAGGGGACACGGGTTCGAGCCCTGGTCTGGAAAGATCCCACATGCTGTGGAGCAGCTAAGCCCGTGCGCTACAACTACTGAAGCCTGCATGCTCTAGAGCCCGTGCTCCACAACAAAAGAAGCCACCGCAGTGAGAAGCCCGCACACTGCAACGAAGAGTAGCCCCTGCTCACCACAACTGGAGAAAGCCCGCACGCAGCAACGAAGACCCGACGCAGCCAAAAATAAGTAAATAAATAAATAAAATAAATAAAGAACTTGGGAAGACTTGTGAGCAAACTGAAGTATTCTAAAGTTAATTTCATAAATGCAGGTTTAAATTGTTAAGGCAGTTTAAATAACTAAATTTCTAAATGGGACCAGTCATCCAAGTTTCCCTTAACAGTGACAGCTAAATTTTACTATATTTTATAAAATAAAGTTCTAAGTAGAATGATGCAGTTTTAAGCCTAAAAGCTTAAGGAAAACCTAAAATTTTGAATTTGAATAAAATGGATATTAAATAAAAATAGACATAATTCAAGCAGTTTTTTATATATGTAAAAGCCACTCTCAATTACAGTAAAAGATGTTTGTCTTACGTTAGAACTTTGATGTATCTTTTAAGCAGTCGTTTGCTCCTTACATTCAGCCGACAACTGGTATTCTTTGTTGCCGAGATGGGGAATCAGAGGCAGAGGAAGGGAGAAGTGGCCTCGGCAGCAGAACCAGAGCCAGCGCTGGACTTGGTCACGCATCCGCCACCCGCCTCCACGGCCTGACCCTTCCACTGTTTCGTTTGCCTCTTGAGTGAGTGTCCTTATTACAGGTGAAGTGAAACCTATGTCATAAAGCAAATTTACCCTTTTTCTCCAGAAGTGATTATGTGACTCATTGAAATCACAATGACTCTTCATTTCCCCCTTCAGAGGCAGCATCACATTCTTGGACCATAATGGGGTGGAAAGCCGCCACTTGGCCCAGGAGATTTAGCCTGATTTCTGGGAAAGAGGCAGCCTGGCTCCTCAGCCATGAATAGGTTATTAAGACAAAATACACTGAGATCAAATGGCCCCCGATTCCCGGCTAAGCTTACCCTCAGGACTGTGACATCCTGCCCGCAGGACAGTGAGGGCCAGGAGAGAGCACAGCTCCCTGGAGAGAGGGTGCGGAGTGAGAACAATGGCCTTGGTCCAGAGGCCTAGATTCGGAGCTCTGTCCTTGTCTGGCCCAGCCCCGGGGGCAAACCCCCCCCCCCCCCCGCCCCGGGGCCAGCTTTGTCGTCCGAGAAACGGGGTGAATGTTGGCCTCTGCATGAATCAAAAACTTGTCAGAGTGCAGTGAAAACACACGAAATCCCTTTGTAACATTAAAAAAAAGCCTGCTTGTACTGCCACAGGAGTGGCTTCCTAGGAGCAGACTGGTTACGCTCAGTCATTGAGGGCTCTGATGTTTTCAGTGGCTCTGTCCTCACCTCAAACCCATCCCTGGGCCCAGTGGGCTTCAAAGGCTGGAGTTAGACTCTGTGAACTGCTGGCCAAGGCCAACCACTGACTTTGGAGCCTCACTTCAGCTATCCTTTCCTTCTGAAGAAAGGGGTGACTGTCCCCGATGGAGCTGGTTGGCCGCGAGGCACATGTTCCCAACAGGCTCAGCTGTAACTGCTCCGTGCTTAGGAAGTTGCAGGGACAGCTGAACAAGAAACACAATGGCGCTCTCCTCCCTTGGGGGCATTAATCAAGGATTTGAAAAGGATCGGTCCCCTAGAGACTAAATCCTGATTTCTGAAACTCCAGCTGAAAGGAGGAGAGAGGAAAACTGACCACCTTCCCGCACGGTCAGGGAGTTTAAGCAGGAGGATTGCCTGGAGAGAAAGGAGGCCTCTCTGAGGATCAGCCCGTGGCGGGGCGGGGGCCCTGGGGCATCCGCACCCTCACTGTGGGTAGCCCACTCTCCCCGGCCATCACCTGCTGCCAATTCGCATGCATGCATTCGGTTTAAGAGATTACTCCCCCGTGGTTGGCGGGCTTCTCCCATGGCCCCCGAGATTCCTGGCCGCGGTGTACACACACCTCCGCAGTGATTCCGGCAAACAGGAGTCTAGGTACCACAGAGGAGGGAATTGCAGATGTAATTAAGAGCCCAAGTCAGCTGACCTTAAGAGAGGGGGATTATCCGGGTGGGCCAGAGTCCTTTAAGGCAGAGAGTTTTCTCCAGGTGGTCCCAGAAGAAGAGGTCAGAGCTCAGAGCGTGAGAAGGACTCGTCCCGCCTTGAAGATGGAGGCGGGAACGCAGGTGGCCCCCGCGGACAGCCAGAGGGAAATGGGAACCCGCGGACAGCCACGGGAACTGAATTCTGCCCACGAGAAAGGGCTCGGAAGTGGGTTTTTCTCCAGATCCTCCCGGTTAGAACTCAGCCCGGCTGACACCTTGGTTCAGAGAGCAGAGAACCCAGTCTTGCTGCGTGACCTCTGACCTACAGAACAGCGAGCTAGTAGACGGGCAGTGTTGAAGCCCCTCGATGTGTGGTGATGCTCCTGCCACCTGGCAGTTGGGCCGTTCCTGTCACTGCTAGTGATCAGCTGCTGGTTACCTGTCACTAAGGTAACTAGCAGCTGACTACACGCCAAATCAATTTGGGAGTCTTCTCATTTAGTGAGCTTTCCAGCATCTATAATTACTTTTTACTTTTTAAAAACTTTTCCTTTTGAATTAATTTCAGACTTACAAAAATGTTGTAAGCAGTACCAAGAGCTCTCAAATACCTTCACTCCAATTTCCCAATTGTTACATAAACACAGCACAATTATGGAAATCTGGAAATTAACACTGGCACAATCCTATTTAAATTTCCCCGACTGTCCTACTGGTGTCCCCTTTGTGGTCCAGGACGCAGTGCAGGAAGCCTTCAGTCCTCCTCAGTCTTTGTCCATTGTGATTTTAACGTTTTCGAAGAAGTACTGGCTAGTTATTTTGTAGAATGCCCCTTATTTTAGGTGCCTGATGTTTCCTCAGGATTAAATTCAAATTATGCATTTTTGGCAAGAACACTGAAGGTGTCATCCCATGCCCTTCTCAGTGCCTTGTGTCAAGAGGCACACAATGTCGATTTGGTCCATCACTGGAGGCGTTCACTTTGATCCCTTGGTTAAGGCAGCTGCCAGGTTTCTCCCCGGTAAAGCTGCCTTCTTCCCCTTTGTCAGTAGTAACTACCTTGTGGGAGATACTGTGAAACTGTCAGTATCCTGTTTCTCATCGTATTTTTGCTAATTTCAGCAACCACTGATGATTCCTCTGTGAAACAAGCACTACTGTGGGATTTGCCAGTGACTGTCCTAGTCTACGATTCCTTCTACATTTATTAACTAGAGTTCTTTTCTTTTTTTTTAGAGTTTTAAATTTTTATCTTTTTATTTGGGATCGAAGCTGAAGAATAGTAAACCAATTAGATAAAAAAGTAAAAAGTCTGAATATCAGTAATTGTGTTCTACAGCTTCTCCACAAAGAACAGTATTAGAGGGAAAACACTTTAACTGAGATAAGAACTTTAATTACAATACAAGGTAGTTATGGAGAAATGCTGTTTTTGATACTTGGAAAAAATTTGAGTTGATGCATTTATATGAATGGCAGGATTTTTTTTAAACATCTTTATTGGAGTATAATTGCTTTACAATGGTGTGTTAGTTTCTGCTTTATAAGAAAGTGAATCAGCTATATGTATACATATATCCCCATATCTCCTCCCTCTTGCGTCTCCCTCCCACCCTCCCTATCCCACCCCTCTAGGTGGTCACAAAGCACAGAGCTGATCTCCCTGTGCTATGCGGCTTATTAGCTAGAATTATAATAATTTCTATAAATTTTAGAAATCATTAATTTCTATAAATCCTAGAATTTTTGAGGAAGAGCATTCCCTCTGCTCCCACTTATTACTCATGTACCTATTTCTTTACGTCAGCTTGGACTCACGGAGTCTTTATTCTATGCGTCAGAACCCATTGCCATCATGATTTATCTTGTTGCTCAAACTCTCCCAGAAGAGCCCTTTCAGGTTGGCCCCTGGGTGTTTCAGACACGTCCCCGTCACTTGTTGGCACCTCAGCATAAAAGTTACTTATTTCTTGGCACCCTAACATGTTCCAGGCTCATCTTTCCACTCCAACCCTCCAAGATCTCCTGGGCCCTTTAACCAGAGAACGGTATTTAGAAACCAAGATCTGTGAGTTAGACGTGTCCACAGAACGGTTCTTTTTTTTTTTTTAATTTTATTGACGTACAGTTGATTTACAATGTTGTGTTAATTTCTGCTGTTCAGCTAAGTGACTCATATATATATTCTTTATATATATATATAAAATATATTCTTTTCCATTATGGTTTATCACAGGATATTGAATATAGTTCCCTGTGCTACACAGTAGGACCTTGTTGTTTATGTATCCTATATATAATAGTTTGCATCTGCTAATCCCAAACTCCCAATCCTTCCCTCCCCTAACCTCCTCCCCCTTGTCAACCACAAGTCTGTTCTCTATGTCTGTGATTCTGTCTCCGTTTTGTAGATATGTTGATTTGTATCATATTTTAGATTCCACATATAAGTGATATCATGTGGTATTTGTCTTTCTCTGTCTGACTTACTTCACTTAGTATAATAATCTCTAGGTCCATCCATGTAGCTGCAAACGGCATGATTTCATTCTTCTTTATCCATTCACCTGCTGATGAATGGATTTAGGTTGTTTCCATATCTTGGCTATTTCCATAGATCTACTCTTAATGGTCATAGTTTTCTCTGATACTGTGGATCATTAATCTTTTCATAGTCACACACATACACACACACACACACACACAGACTCACATTTTGGTAAAACGCAGAGTCACTGGGAGCTCATCCCCTGGCAGCTGGACTTCTCTTGCTGCACTTGACCCCCCCTGAACCAGCCCCTACGTTTCCTGGGCCAGCCACGCACTCCCACCCTGTGCCTCCCCAGGAGTTCCTATCACTTAGCTCCTCTGCTGGGACCCTTCCCATTCATTACCCTGGGGACCCTGAAAGTAGCCTCTCTCCGCTTCCAGCTCTATTAATATTATTAACAGTAACTACCTTTTTGTTGGGTCCTCGTGCTCCAGGCAAACATGAGTTCGAATCCTTACAGCGATGCACGGAGAAGGCAGTATCCCCATTTATAGACCGACAACAGAGGCTCCAAGAGGGCATAGCACACAGCCAGAGCAGGAAGCACACTGTGGCGGTTCTCACTCCCCACCCCTGCTCTTCGCATCCACCCTTCCCTGTGCTGGCTGTAGGGCTGCCTTTTGGCAAACGCCAAGGAGCTGGAAGCTTAAACCATGCCGAGGGGCAAGGAGTGAGGGGGCGGCCAGGCCATGGGAGCCAGTGCAGTGGGGACAGCCCCTGGTCTCCCCTTGCTGGCAGCCTGGTGGAGGCGGGGGTGGGCCCTGCCCCCGGCACCTTCCTCTTCCTTCCTCTTCCTTCCTCTTTCACACACAAACTTCTTTTTACCATTGTTCCTGACCCCCATCAAAAGTTCCCAGTCCCCTTCTTTGGCCTGGGAACCCTTCACCGGAGACAAAGCCTTACATTCTATAATTAGAGAGACAAGGCTTAAAAATGCAGATGCCCAAATACCTGGGAAGGGAAAGGCTGTGGTAGGGACAGTGAGTTGCCAGGGGTACAGAGTGTTAGATCTCTTCCTATTTGAGTGCTACCGTCCCTCTGAGAGGGCATGAAAGTCTTCTGCCTATGAATCGGAAAAGAAATCTTACCCTGCAGTGAGAAAACCAGAGGCTGTGGCCTGGGCACTCCCTGCCAAGAGCCTGGGAACAGGTCACCAAAGCCAGGAGAAAGGCAGCTCGTGCCCTGGGTAAACAGAGCCCAAGATTCTGATCTAGCTCCTCTGGGGCCTTCACCTCACCGTTGAGTTTCACTTTTCAAGGGCGGTCTGGAACCAGAAGAACCAGCAACATCCTTATGACCTGGGCACCTTGTGAGTGGGCCAGTTCTTAGGCCCCGCCCCAGACTGAATCAGAAGCGGGGGCTGAGGCCCAGCGATCCGTGTGGGCAGCCCTCTAAGCTCCTCTCTTGCCTGCAAGTTGGACCTCAGGTGACCTCAGATTATGCTGCTGACGGTGACCATCCTAAACTGACGATAAACTGAGGCCCGGAGGAGGCCTTGGAGTTTCCTCATGGTCATAGCAATTAGGCTAGATTTTAAAAACATCACTTTGAGGTACTAAGCGCTCCCTAGGAGAGGAGCAGTGTTGAATCAATAGTGCATCAGATTGAGAACAGAAGTGTCACCAGACACAACTGAAATTTGGTGAACACTGATGAAATGACTTAGTTTATGACTCATGCTACATTGTTGACAGGGCCTGGGAATTTATTCTCAATTTAAAATTGCTTCCAATCTTTCTTCCACGTCTGAAAACCAGAGGGCCATGACCCACCACTCCAGCCCAATTCCCCCCAGTGCTGGCGGTGATGAGTTAGTGCTTCAGCAAATCCAGCCGTCCACGCCACTCTTATCTCTTGTGTGAACTTGCCTGGGCTGTTTCCTCCCTTCTGCAAGGGACAAGTAGAAGCCCTCTGAGTTATAAGATGTTGACATCAGTCCTTGCTGGCTGCCTCTGACTGGTGGTGAAAGAAAAAGTGTTCTCAGGATTGTTAAACAAGCACTACAAAAATCTGAGAGGGCTGCTCTCTGAACACAGGATGGTAACCAGGCTGAAAGGGCTCCCTGTGTTCTTTTTCCTGCATGGCATTAGACTCAAAGCCGAGATCAGGCTGTATGAATCTGAATCCTTCTGATACCAAATGTGTGGGTTTTCCACGCCAACAGCCAGTTGTCCAGCTCTCTGGACACTAACTGGATGTCCTGCAATTCAACTCCGTTCTGAAACTACCAGGGTTTAGCCCACATCCCATAGGTTACGGCCTCAGTCCTGCAAGACTGCCCCACTACAGATGCCCAGGGTACCCATCTTCTGTCCAACTTGGCTACGAAGTCTGGGGATCCTCCAACGCCCTCCTTTCAGGTTCGATAATTGGCTAGAACGGCTCACAGAACTCAGAAAAGTACTTCACTTGCTATTATCAGTTGATTATAGAGGATGCAAGTCAGGAGCAGCCACGTGGAGGAGATGCACGGGGGCAAGGTGAGAGCGCAGAGGCACGCGGAGCCTCCGTGCCCACTCTGCGTGCTTCACCCTCGCAGCGCCTCCATGTGCCCACCAGCCAGAAGCTCTCCAAGCCCCGTCATGGTGGGGTTTTTACTGAGGTTTCATTTTGTAGGTATGATTGGTTAAATCATTGGCCGTTGGTGATTGAACTCAATTTCCAGTCCTCTAATCGTGCTTGGTCTTCTAGCCACCAGCCCCTCTCCTGAAGCTATCTAGGGGCCCCCAGCCACCTGTCCTCTCCTTAGCATACAGAAGATCACTGCAGAGATTCCAAAGGTTTTAGGAGCTCTGTGTCAAGAACCGGTGAAAAAGACCAAACATAAATTTCTTACCGTAGCACAAGCAGCCACATGAGTCCATAGGGCAGTAAAGGTGCCAACCAGAAGGACGCAAGGTCCGTCCTCTCAAAGTGCATGTCCTCTGGCTTCAGGATGACTCACGGCAGTCTGAGTCCAAGATGTGCGGTCTTGACGCTTTATCTGGCCTTAAAGACAATTTGCCTTCCCTAGCAGATAAGTCGCCTGAGTAAAGTGCATGTCCACCAGGCATTATGGTCGTGCCAGGGAAAAGGGCAGAGGGAGCTGACCATTGCTGCCAGCACTGAATCTGGGACTCCCCCAGCATCCCTCGCTTCCTGCTCCTCTCAGGCAGACTGATGCCTACACTCATCAGGGCTCACCATCTGGATCTCCAGCTGGGTCCATGCAACAGTGTCTTTCCAGGAGGCTCTACCATGTTCCCAAGCCAGCTGACAATACAGTACCTGACCTAATGGCTACTTCCTTCTCCCTTCAAAAGGGGGTGGGGAGAGTTTGGACTATTAATCATAAAAGACAACAGGCTGAACAACTGATTCTGATTAAGAAAAGATAAAAAAAAAAACAAACCACCAAACCACTGGCTCTGACTTTCCCAGCTCACCTCGATGGGTTTTTTTCACTATACAGACAGTGGGCCGATTGCTATCTGCATGGGTGCTTTAAATATTACATCAGGAGACTGTGGTGACACCGGTCTTCAAACTGCAATGTGAAACAGCACTTGTCACAGGAGTTAACTCTTACCTGACTGGAAGGATGTCCTGCCTTTGAGACTTTTGAGTCCACCAAATAATAAAGCATTTTCTCAGGTGCGGGTCTTCCCAAAGGCAAAATAAATAGTAATGTGGGGGGTGAGGCCCCTCCCCCATTTCTCTGGGTTATAGTTCCTGAAGTCCCACTACCATCATTATTTTTTAACATATTTATTGAGCTGTGTGTGGGATTGCTCCCCCCAGCCCTCCCTTAATTTCAAGTCAAGTCAACCAGCCTTTGAGCGGACTCCTGGGCCTGAGGACAAAAAGATTAAAATGGAATAAAGTTCCCCAAATACTTCCAGGGATGATGTCCTCCAGCCGCCCAAAGGCGTGGATGAGCGAGTTGCTTTTCTTCCCGATCAGGAGTTTCCTTTCCGCTCAGGGGCGTCGGGAGAGGCAGGCCCAGCTCCGATGCACGGCGTGGGGGGCTCGCGACCCAGACCCCGGCTCGGGCTGGGGAGGCCGCCGGCGCGCTGCTCGGCCGGGAGCTCAGGGGTTAAGTGGTTTCCGCCAGGCCCGCCCCGGGGCCGCGCTTCCCGCTTCGCCGTGGTTCCTCCCTCCGCCGGTGACGCCCCGGCCTTTGCCCAAATATGTCCCTTTCCCCTCTCCTCGCCCGGCACCCGGCGGCCGTAGGCAACCCCGAGCCGCGGGGCTGGCACTCGGACGTCGCCCGGCCCCGGTGTCCCGGGCCGGCCCCTCCCGGAGCGCCCCTCCAGGATGCCCTTCCGGAAAGGTAGGCGGAGTCCCCCCGCTAGCGCTCCCGGGCCGGAGCGGGAGACCTGCGCCGCCAGGTGCCGGGGGGCGGCCGGGAGGGCGCAGGGCCCGACCCCGCACTGCCCCTCTCCTGCCGCATCGCCCCTGCGACCCCACTTCGCCCCTTCCGGGCACTCGGCGGCCGACCCCACATGCCGGAGCCGGTGCGCAGAGCCGGCGAGCAGAGCGCGGTCGCGATACTTGGACCGCACCCGGATTGCGCCGCAGCAAGTTCTGAGATACAGGTGGAATCGGGTTCTCCCGGCGGACTGGAGATTTGGGGCGGGGGGTCGATTGTTCTACGGTGTCGAGAGGTTTGCAGCGTGGGGTCCCGGCGGCGCGCTCGGATTGCGGTCCGAGTCTCCGGGAGGGACTGGAGGGCGAGGGGTTGGGGGTGGGCAGCTCGGCGGTGTGGAAGCAGGTCCGAGTACGGGTCCTGCCTTCGGCCTTTTCTACCCTCTGACTCTCGGGGAAGTCAGTTAACCACCCGGAACCTCAGTTTCTTCATCCGCAAAACGAGCGCGTGAACCGGGACGACCGTGTGGGGACCGGGACGGGTGAGAGGCGCGCGGCTCAGCATGCAGAGGCGCGGGGCAACGGCCGGCCGGCCAGGCAAGACCTGCCTCCCTGTGCCTGGCAGCTGGCACCCAGCGCCCCACCTGGCCCACCTGCACCGCGGGCTGGGTGCGCAAGGCCTGCCGGAAAATCCCAGATGCTCGCGGGGCCCCAATTTCCGGGCAGGGCGATGGAGGCCCTGCTGTGCCCAGGGCGCTGCAGAGCTGGGCCGGGACTTGCCACCCTCAGGTCGGAGCCTAGGATGGAGGAGACTCGTTTTTACTTTCCGAACAGAGCTGATTGGCTCCTCCTGCTTTTTCTGTTTGTGTTGGAAGGGGCTTGGGCTCGGTGACCCATTGTCACTCTGACCCAAGCTTTCCCCACCCCCATCTGGGTACCACTGACCGGGGCGAACAGAGAGGAAGCCGAGACTCCCTCCCAGGCACCCGGGTACCTGGGACTGGCTGCGTGGCTTCCCGCCGCTGCCTCCACCCCACCTTTCTGGCCGTCTCTTCACTTCTCTCATAATCCCGATTAATCGTCAGGTTAATGCTACGGTTGCCAGTATTACCCTATTGGCCTTTGTCCCTTAAACGGAGGTTGCTAAGGTGCCACTGTGAGGTCCTGGTTGTGAAGATGCATGGTTGGCACTCCCTGTGCTGTGGGGATGTTGAGAAGGAAGGTGAAAGCCACGAGCAGGGACAGAGGGTTCAGGGGTCAGTCGGATCCTGAGCTGATGACGTGTGGTCCCAAACTCACCGTCTTCATTGGCTCCATTATTCCATATATAACGGCAATGCTGTGTCCCTGGACGTTCCCCCGAGTCCCCAGCTGACCTCATTTAGCTGCAGTGTGAATGGCCATTTATCTGCTGTGTTCTGTGGTCTCTGGAGGCAAACTCCTAGGAGGCAAAGTGCCCGTTTACTTGTCACAGAGCTGGAGGGAGCCTTATGCAGGAGGCTTAAGTACCTGGGCTGTTGAGTGAGTGTTCACCTGGGAAGGTTTCCCTATGTGATGGCATCATTAGGTCACATGCGACAGACGTCTGTCTGCCCGCCGCCAACCACGTTAAGCTTTGACTTTTCTTTTTCTAATCTGAAGAGAGCACTGCTGCCTGGAGAGGTGAATCCTGCCCCTCCATTCTGTGAATGCTGATTCCTAAAGGGCCAGGGTGTGAGAAACAGGCGTTGTTGGGTTTTCTGGAAGCTTTGGTGTGAGCCAGGGCAGGGGCCCTGGAGGGCTTGCTTCCAGCCCAAGGCAGAACCTCCCCATTTGGCTTGGTCGGAACCTCCTGTTGAGAAGTGAACACAGTAAGTGGAAATGATGGCAAGGCCGGGTTTGTTCAATCTGGTGATGAGACGTCATCTGGACCTGCCTGGAGGTGGAAAGCTGGGCCCGTGACCGGGGATATGGCACCCCATCCCTGGAACTGTCCCGGTGCTGGAGACTTCAGTATATGTATATATATGGAATATATATACAGTATATATTCAGACTTCAGTATATATACTCTTTTATACTTTTTTTTTTTCCCGTACGCGGGCCTCTCACTGTTGTGGCCTCTCCCCTTGCGGAGCACAGGCTCCGGAAGCGCAGGCTCAGCGGCCATGGCTCACGGGCCTAGCCGCTCCGTGGCATGTGGGATCTTCCCGGACCGGGGCACGAACCCGTGTCCCCTTCATCAGCAGGCGGACTCTCAACCACTGCGCCACCAGGGAAGCCCCTCTTTTATACTTTAAAAAAATTTTGAACCATCTGAATCTATTAACTATTCAAAAAAAGTAATTTAAAAAATGGGAAATGAAAAGACTTTGCTTCTCTCTGCGCAAAACGAAGAGAAGCCAGATGGAGAAGGACTTCCTTGTAGCTAACGTCTAGAAGGTTAATTGACCGCTGATTCCCTTCCCAGGCTGTGTTTCTATGTCTTGACAAGTAAGACTCGGGGACCAGCTGGGTCAGGGCCTGGCAGGAAGCACACGCCCGCTCATATAGGGCAAGTTGAAAAGAATTTAATGAAGGCTGTTACAAAGGTTTGGGTTAGGGTAGAGGAAAACCACAGGGGATATTGCAGAAGCCCAGGCAGTCCCACCCCAGGTCTGAGGGGTGAGGGTCGAGCAGTCACTGGAGCCAGTGGCCCAAGGCGGGCTGTCCCTCCCTGGAGGATGCAGGCGGCTTGTGGCCCCCGCAGAGGCCCCACGCTGCTCCCTCCCTCTGACCCCAGGACATGGGCAGCCGAGGGCCAGGGAGCCTGTCGTGTGTGTGCAGGTCAGCCTGCGGGGACCGGAGACGGGTGGATTTGCCCTTCGTGACAGCGGATCTGGGGGAACAAAGAGATGACCAGCCGATCTTTGGTACTCATCCCGGGCCTTGCCTTGATCGATGGCACTGAATGTAATTAGGGCAGAGTTCAGTGACTGCACGCCACTCACTCGCTTGCTCATTCATTCATTCGCTCGTTCATTCATTTGTTCATTCATTCATTCATTCTCTAGACAGAGCGCCTGCTCTGCGCCGGGCACGCTGGAGGCTCTCGGTGAATGACAGACTTGACAGTTCCCTCACCGCAGTCACACCACCCCGGCGTGGTCCACCTGCTGTGATAATGGCCAGCAGGGACTGTGTAGCCTGAGTTGGGTGAATGGTGGGGCGGGGTGGCGGGCAGTAGCCGATGGTGCCCTTCCCCGCCGGCTGAGGGGATGGCATGCGGGCACCGCGTTCGCACTCACATCCGCCCTGGCCTCTGCTTGGTGGTTCCAGGGTGCTGGGGGCTAGTGGGGCGAACAGAGTCCGACCCTCAGCTGAGCTGCTGGAATTTTGAGATGGGCTCGAGTAAGAAGGAAATGCCCTGACGTGGACCATTAAGGAAACTCATGAGAACAAAGGGGTGGGAAGAACTTAGGTGGGCCCCAGGAGGAAGGTGGTGAATGGGGTGATTAAAGCTGGAAACTTCTCTCTCTGGAGGATGTTAAAGGCAGGCTAGATGGTGACTTTCTAGAGGGTTGAGGAGTGCTCTGTTCAGAGACTGTGGTCTTGGCTAAATTCTCGAGGTCCCTTTCAGGTGGAGATGCTGAAAAAAATGTCTTCAGATGGTGGAGTCCCAAGTATTCCTGCACATCCTACCTTCAGTAGGGATGGGGATAGGGGTGAAGGTTCTAATAATAAATAACAGTAAGAAACCAAACACACTTAGGGACCACCTTCCAGGTCCTGTGCTGAGTGCTTTGCACATGTGCATTTGTCCTCACAGCTACCCCAGGGGCTATTATTTCCACTGTGAAGGTGAAGGAAGTGAGGCTCAGAGAGGCTCCATACACAATGGTCAACTCGTGTGCTGAGCAGTGCTGGGCTGAGGCTCTGCCTTTCCGGCTTGGACCCCAGTGATGGGCTAGCTTGGGATGTGGTATGACGTGTGTCAGGCTGAGACCGTACAGTATGCTAAGTCTGCCGTTATGAACATCAGACGTCTTCCACGTTAGAAATGAGCCGAGAGACAGACTTAGATGCCTGACTCTTCTGAATCCTTGAGACAGGTGGAAGGGATGGGACTGCACGTGGGGACAGTCGGGGGTCCCCTGTCTCTTGTGGCCCCAAGGGCACAGCTGTCAGGGGCTGGACTCATAACATGGCTCTGGTGTCGTGGAGATGATACTCCAGCCAGATGACAGGTCACAGCTGCCCAGGAACTGCCCCGTCCCCTGCTGGGCACGGAGGATGCAGCACCTTAGGGGTTCCTGCAGGTGAGCTGCTTGCAGTGGGAACTCCATCGCAGTTAGGTCAGCATTTTTGGACCCAAACCCGGGACCTCGCCTTCCTTTCACTCCCAGTAGGAGTGCAAAGAGCAGATCCCGACTAGACTCGGCAGGGCTGGGCTGGCCCCTGGTCCTTTCATCCCTCCCCTGAGCTCTGGTGCTGGGCCGGCACCGCCCTCCACTCTGGGGCCCTGCTGGCGGGCTCTGTCCTCAGACAAACTTTCCTCCCTTGGGGTCTGGCAGCTTGCTGGGCAGGACGGGCTGCATTTCGGAGACTACGGCCCCAGGGAAGCAGCCGCCAACCAGGCTGGGCCTGCCCGTTTCCCGCAGGGCCTCTGTCTCCAGGTTTCCCTTCTGAATCCTCTGCTTTGTCTTCTCAGGCCTTTGATCCCTGGGCTGCGCCCTTCTAATGCCCT